CTGCGGTGACACTCATGAGCATTCAAAATGGCGGCTCAACCGGGCAAAAATCATAGAGCGAGATAGGGAAAAAACATGTTTTTCGCATTTTGCGTCGTCCTACAGCTTCCGATCCCGTTCTATCACTTTATTTTGGCAAGAACTGACTGGTGTGAAGGTTTTGGATGAATATTTGTACAATTTAAGTTTAATAAAGACGAAATAATCGATCGCTAAATGTTATCTGAAAATCATCACATAGTCGGTTGAGCAGTTCGAGACATTTTGTTACAGCAAAAAAAGGTTTTGGTTCTTTGGGTGCTTTTTTTCTCGAGGATCTCGGTTGGGATATATAACAGGGAATAATATTGTGAAGTATTTTGAAGTTAAAACCTATTTTACTTGATTTATTTGGTCTGCTGGTGCGAAAATTCTGATGCTCTGTTTAGTGTGACTTTGACAACCTCCTTGCTGCTGCAGATGTCAAGGGATCTCAAGTCTATATGGCCTGGACAGTGAAAAGTGATGAATCAATCAGGTTTGTAGATAGAACTAGTGACAGCGAAAGTTTTCAATGGAAACTAGTTTGAAGAAACTGACTAATTTGTCTGGTATGCATCAAAAACCTTCACAGTATCTAGTTCTCTCCAAGAAACCTGATTGATTCATCATTGATAATCAAAAATAGATGGGACGGCATCTTCGTTTAGATATTTCTTGGATAAGTTGGATTGGCCTTTTATTGATTGCTCTCCACAATCAGCACTCTCCCCTTCAGGCACTCTCCCCTTGAGACAGCTGACTTAAGCATCAGCACTTTCCCTTGACGAGTAAAATTGTCTGGCGTTAGACAGAGTAAAATAATAAAATAGCGCACAAAACGACTCAATGGGTTAACTAGACACATGGGCAGATAGGCCAGTTAACCCATTAAGTGCCACTGCTCTCCCCTTGATGAGTAAAATTGTCTGGCATTAGACAGAGTAAAATAATAAAGTAGGGCGCATTGCAACTCGATGGGTTAATATAATCATCGGGTGTGAAGTGTTTCTCACACAAGACAGGGTTCGTACGGGTCCTGGAAAGTCATGGAATTTCAATATTCCAAAATCCAGGCCTGGAAATCCTGGAAAATCAATTTTAGTCATGGAAAGTCATGGAAAATTGAAATTTTACATAACATTAACAAAGTATTTTACTTATTTCAATTTACCAGTCATAACAATAATATAAATTGCTGTTATATAATGGATTTTTGCCAGATGGAGCAAAGTGAATTTTGTTCTTTTATTATATCTGTTATCGTTAAAATATTATTAACGATATTCAGAAATTCCAGACTTCCAGGTCATGGATTTTGAAAAAAATGGTCATGGGAATTCATGGAAAAGTCATGGAACCTTAAATCGGAGATGGTACTGATGGTGTACGAACCCTGTTTTATCTTCTCATGATAAAAAACCATATTGTTTTCACCATATTGTTTTTTGTTTATATATATATATATATATATATATATATATATATATATATATATATATATATATATATATATATATATATATATATATATATATATATACAGGGGCGTAGGAAGCGGGGGGGCACAGGGGGCACGTGCCCCCTGTGCAATTTTTTTAAAGGACTAAAAGTGCCCTTTTTTGTGATAAAAAGTGCCCTTTTTGTGTTGAAAAGTGCCCTTTTTTGTGAGGAAAAGTGCCCCTTTTGTAGAAGCTAATTTCGCTGTAAATACTAAATTAAAACAATAGGTGCCGTTTTTGTGTGGAAATTTACAAATTTTTTTTAAAAATTAGGTCACAAACATAAATTTCGGTATGATACGACGGAAAATTTTCCTCAGGAGAAATTTCTCATTTCCGGGAAAAATTTTTTAGGTGCCCTTTCCGATAGTAATGTGCCCCTACAAGCCGGTGCCCCCGCAAACTCCAGGTGCTTCCTACGCCCCTGGATAAGACGTATGGACGAACAAAAATATAAAATAAAGTAGGGTCATGACCTTCTTAAAGAGATACAAGGGTTAAACATGCAACATGCTGTAGTTTAGTGTTAGTTACACAGAAGCGTGTTAGTTACACACATGGAGCATGTTTGGGAGGGGAGCGGAAGTAGAGAACTGGCTTGCGAGGTTGGCAAGAGTTCTGTCCGCATTATTGACGATATCGATATATTTCCTGAAGCATGCCTGATCAATGCAGCGTGTTTTTCTCTTTGTCCTTACTCTTTTTTATCAGTTATATTGTAGTTCGACTACATATATTAGCTATATATATATATATATATATATATATATATATATATATATATATATATATATATATATATATATATATATATATATATATATATATATATATATATATATATATATATTGTTATATAAGTACTGTTAATTTATTATAATTCATTGATTTCAAAATGATTTACATTGATGTAATTACAGTACATTGTTTATTAAAGATGTTCATTACTACTTTAATTATATATTGCAAATATTTTCATGTTTCACAAAAAGCAACAAGTTTTGATGCTTGAATTTACAAACAGTCTTTAAGAATTTTTAACAGAGAGCTTCTTACAATTTCTCCCTCACCCTCATTGTATGAATAGACTGGATCAGGAATGTTTTTGAATTGTTCTTCATTTTGCTTCATTAAACCGATCTGTTCTTTGAATGACTTGTCATTGTCACTTTGTTTTGTTCACAAACATTGTGTAGGCTAAGACGAAACAGGCATAAATAACTGTAGGTGTAGCCGTGTGAGAACAATTAAGAAACAGCTTTAAAGACTGGGACTTAGTCAGCGGTTATATTATAGAAACGGGCTCAGCAAGATATTCTAGCACTTTTTAAAAATAATATAACGAACACATATTTTTGTAAAAGTTTTATTAAAATACTCCTTTAAAAGTGAGGAAAATGTAAAACAAAAATAACTCTGAGTAACATTTGGAGGTCCCACCGAGACCAATGGAAGGTAATATGTAGAAAAATCGATGTTTGAACGAGAAAATACAAGAGATTTGCGAGATTTATGATACTTTATATACGTGAGTTATTGACAAATTGTGGAAATTGGATATATATGAAAAACAAAAGTTTGATACAAGTTCAACAACGCGAAGTTGGACGACCTACTACTGTTGAATAATGTCAGAGGATTTGATTATAGAGCTTCAGTCTAGTATGCTGGGTTTAAAACGAATGGAATTAGCCCGATTTGGAGAAGAAATGAAATGGATAAAGGCAGAAAAATTCGGAGAAAAGGGCAGGTTGAAACTGATTAAAATTATACGTACAGTATTTGAAGAAGAAGTACTTAAGTGTAATAGTGAGCAGCTTGACAGTCTATTGGGGAAAATACAAACTATTTTAGACAGCAAAACAATAAGTCAGAATGAGGAAAGTGCGAAAGCAAAAGAGAAGAGTGAACAGTAACTGAAACAGCTCAAAACACAGTTTGAAAAGTTACTAGTAGAGCAGGAAAAACTCAAAGATCAAATAAACACTGTCCAAACCCAAAATGAAACAGCTGAGAATAACGATAACTAGTGAATCAGTAACACAACAAGACAAGACAAACAACAAAGTGCATTTCTTAACATGAAAACAAGCATGCTCCGTCGGGAATTCAAGATACAAGGACAAATCGGAGAGCCGGGACATAAAGATAAACTAGCATATCAGTCACTCATTTCACAGATTGAAATTGGGCTGCAAAAGGGTTACACAGAAGAGGAAATTACCCATGCTGTTGTTAGAGCTGTTCAGGCTGGGTTACAACTACGAGGTTATTTGGAGGGAATGAATGAGTTGACATTAGCATGATTACGTAAAATACTGCGCTTTCATTTCCAAGAGAAAAGTGCTACCGAGCTCTACCAGCTCTTGGCTAATATCAGTCAAGCCCCAAAAGAAAGTCCACAAGAATTTTTAATGCGTGCCCTGACGATTCGGCAAAAATAGTGTTTGCATCGAAAGAATCGGATACCAAGATCAAATATGATGAAGGACTTGTCCAAGGCCTATTCCTGCATGCTCTAGAAACTGGCCTTGCCGATGAAACCATCTGGGCAAAAATGAGGCCACTACTTAAGAACGAATCAGTGGCTGATGAAGAGCTAATTGAAGTAATGAGCTCTGCGATGGCTGCTGAATCAGAAAGAGCCAAGAAGTTCAACCAGGTTGGTCGAGCAAAGTCCTCACTAAAAGTCTCCACCAAGACCTGCAGAGTCACCAAATGCACATGATGGTGAGATACTGGCAACATTAAAAGCTATCCAGGCAGAACTGAATACAGTTCAGTCCGAGGTGGCTAGCTTGCGACGAAAGTATAGCAGAAAGATTCCCCTCAAGGACACCCCCTTCCAGTACCTTCATGACGGGTCGTGTTGGTCAAAACCGACGAAATGATGGCCCTCAAGGTGACTATCCCCCATTGTGTAAAAAATGCCAGGAAGAGAATCAAGTTAATTGTTCTCATTGTTTCAAATGTGGAGGAAGAAACCACACTGCCCGATATTGCAGGTCAGGAAACGAGAGGAGGCTACCTCTGAGGACTAGGAGTAGCCGCATCAAACCAAAATAAGTCCCACTGATCCAATGGTTGTAACCAAGAGGAATTTCACGCTAACTTTAAACGTTGTTCTACCTGAAAACTGGTGTATTATTGCTCAAAATCATGTCAAAAAAGACATTGGAGTGAACACCAAATACTTTGCAACGCCATTAAGGAAAGCTAAATCAAAACAATGAAACTCTCAGAGGACTGGGAGATAGTTTGAACACAGAAATGTTTGCAAGTCACCTTTCTCCAAAGAAACACGCTGCAATTGCTAAACTTGTTGGTCGGAAATGCTCTGTTCGATTTCTTGTAAATGATGTTGAAATGGAAGCGTTATGGGACACTGGATCACAGGTCTCCATTTTTCCGGAACAGGTACTGTCTGACAATTTTTCTGATTTGAAAATACGTGATATTAGTGAATTGCTTGGTGCGGATTCTGGTCTGAATTTAACAGCGACAAATGGGACACCAATCCCTTATAAAGGCTGGGTGGAAGCGAGATTTAGATTAAACCGAGAAGATGAAAAAGAAGTAACATTACCATTCTTAGTAACACCCGAACAGTTGGAACAACCAATGATTGAGTACAATGTTATTGAACTGTTTTTGCAAAAAGGTGAAAACTACTCAGATAATTTATCAGTGGCACACCATATAGTGTCAATTTTTAATAATGTTGGAGTGAAAGATGCCGAGCAATTGATAAACATTATCCAAAGAAATGATGGGGAGTTGTTTTGCCAAGTGAAAACATCCAAACGCCACATTACAATACCGAAGAAAGCTACCAAAACAGTACCCTGTCGAGCAAATACGGGAACGATTGAAAATGCAAGACCAGTGCTTTTTGAACCTGATGAAAAACAAGAGTGGCCCCGCGGATTAATAGTTAATGAAACCTTAGCATCTGTGAAAAGTGGGAAATCCACTATCATGCAAGCGCAAGTGACAAACGGACGGACTGTTTTGGGAAGCCTTGAACTTATTCGCTCTGTTACACCAATTGAGGTGAAATTAAAGGAAAATGTAGATGAGAAAAGAGTTGATATGAATTTTGGAATGGAGAAACAAAGGACTAGTCAAACGAAGGACCCTTGCCATTCAACTGTAAATTCTGAGAAAGAACAATTCATACCGGAAGTCGATTTAAGTACTCTCACACTCGAACAGCACACCTTGGTAAAAAAATGTTATGTGAGGAGCGAGATGCTTTTTCGATCGACGATGACGACATTGGGTGTATCAAGGACTTGAAAATGGAAATAAATCTTACAGACAGATAACCAGTTCAGAACAATTACGCGTCCATTCCACGTCCACTTTATCCGGAAGTGAAACACAATCTGGAAGACCTACTGAACAAAAGCTTTATCAGACGATCGAAGTCACCTTACTCTAGCAGCGTGGTGTGCGTCAGGACGAAGGATGAAACCATGAGACTATGTGTCGACTACCGTGCACTGAATAAAAAGACCATTCAAGACAGACACCCCATCCCCAGGATATAAGAAACCTTAGATAACCTATGGGGAAGCTCCTGGTTCAGTACATTAGATTAAGGCAAAGCGTACCATCAAGGCTTTGTCAGCGCAGATAGTCTACCATTCACAGCATTTGTGACGCCGTAGGGGCTTTACGAGTGGGTACGCATCCCATTTGGACTGTACTAACGAACGCACCAGCTAGTTTCCAACGGTTCATGGAAAGATGCTTAGGAGATTTACGTGACCAGATATGCATTCCCTATCTCGACGATATTATTACATTTTCCAAATCATTCGAAGAGCATGTTGAACACGTACGTCTAGTTCTGCAGAAACTGCAACAACATGGTGTTAAACTGAAGCCAGGGAAATACAGGTTATTCAAGCGTCAAGTATCGATTCTAGCGTACCCCCGATTCTAGCGTACCCTGATTACAGTTCACCTTACGTTGTTCATACAGATGCTTCCCAGAACGGGCTGGGAGCCGTGTTATATCAGCGTCAAGGCGGAACGCTCCGAGTTATCGCATATGCATCATTCATGCACATTAACGCAAGCTGAGAAGAACTACCATTTACATGCGGAGAAGTTAGAGTTTCTTGCTCTAAAGTGGGCTGTCGGCGAACAATTCAGGGATTATTTATATTATGCACCGTCCTTCATAGTCTATACTGATAATAATCCACTGACTTATATTCTCTCGACAGCGAAACTTAATGCGACCGGTTTGTGTTGGGTTGGGGAACTTGCAGACTTTAAATTTGAGATCAAATATAGACCGGGAAAACATCGACGCGTATAGCCTGTCCAGAATTCCCGCGGACTTCGAAAGATTCATGGACTCTTGTTCTGAAACGGTTTCAAATCCGGAGTTCAACGCAGCAGTTGCTCAGATTTCTTCCGTCAACAATGGTGATTCCCCCTGGATTACATCAGTCACGGATCAGCCGGACGCCTGCCCTCGAGACAGACAAGCTATTCTGGCCAGAGCGAGAAAACACCATCCAATTTAAACAGACAGAGATCGCTAGAGCGCAACGAGAAGACCCAACGACAAGTCGGGTTCAGTGGTATGTACGGACGCGAACTAAAGAAAACAACTCTCGAAGAAAGGCAACAAGAAACCCCTGAACTAAAAAATACCTCCGGGAGTGGCATAATCTCATGATCGATAGGAAGACCGGTATTTTGTATCGAGGCCAGCAACTTGTACTACCAACGAAGTATAGATCCTTAGTATTTCGAGAACTACACGAGAAAATGGGACATCTTGGTCCAGAACGCGTTTTCAACCTCGCGAGGGAACGGTTCTATTGGCCTGGAATGAAAAACGATATTGAACATTGTATCACGCACGTCTGTAGTTGTGTTAAACAGAGAAAACCCACCTTTACCAACAGAGACCACTTCACTCCATTTCTACGTCCGCACCATTCGAACTAGTATCAATTGATTTTGTCCATTTAGAGCGAAGTTCGGGAGGGTTCGAGTATATCTTGGTCATAGTCGACCACTTCACCAGATATACACAAGCGTATCCAACACGGAACAAGGTATTGAATCCAGGTCACATGATTTGCAGGGCATCTTATCAAGTAGGTCACATAGATATACAGATGACATTGTGTCGAATATGGAAAAGGTAGCTTGAGTCTAATTTAGCTTATCATAATGAAATTTGGCATTTATTGACGACCCTTGAAGAAATCCGCAAAGTCATTCACCAATTTTGCGAAATATGTGCATGAAGGATAATGTTTTTCTCTTTTCCATTCATTTGCCATAAATATAAAAAGTCTTTTTCGAATGAATTATCAAATCATTACCTTTAATGCACTGTTTTACATACAAATCTCTATCAGCAGATTAGTAGAAGAACGCCAACGCCTTTCAACTTTTCTTTTAATGATTCTCTGCGCATGAATTTCCTCTGTATACCATGGGGTAAAGTAAAGCACTGTAACGACCTTTTTCTGTTCTGAGGCATAAACATCTAACAATACCCTCAACACAGATTCATACTTTTCTACTAGCGTGTTAATGGGCAAAGACTGGCCTGATTCAGACAGAAGAGATGATCTTTCAAGGTTCACACAGAAGTTTTCATAATTGATACTTTTTAACCTCCGAATGCAGAGTTCTTTCCTTAATCGCGTTAGCTTCTCGATTAAAACTTTCACATTTACAGAATAATGATCAGAAATACCACGATCAGTAATGCACAACGAATCGATTATGTTATCTTCAGAACGGATAATGATTAAGTCTAATCCCCGAGCCGGCGGCGCGAAGCGCCGTGCGAGGGTACTAATTCCCCCCGGCTATTTACACCCGGGGAAACGAAAGCATTAGCGAAGTCTAAAGTTCATCAATGAGCGCGGGCGTCAGTCACCAACGATGGGTGGTCATCCTCACTAATCTCAAAAATATGGCGGACTCTCATGAATAACGGACACTGATTGGTCCAATTTAAAGTTTGCATTATAACGACTGCATGACGACAGCGAAATAGCAAACATTTCTTGATTTGATGAGTTGATGATTGATAAATTTCTTGCAAATATTGTTCATTTTTGCTCGTATTTCTGCAAGATTTTGTAACTTTCAAGAAAGAAAGGGCGAAAGAATCAGCTAAAAGAAGGGAGCCGACGTTAACGAAGGTAAGTTTGTTTTAAATATTGATTTTATAATGATTAATGGCTTTAAAACCTGACGGCCTTTGCGTATATGAAACAACTAAACAAGACAGCATATAATTTCAGTGTATCTTTAATATTGATTCCTTTTTTATTATATTGAATTTTTTAAATAAAAAATAAAGCAAAGTTATTTGCAAGCGAGAATTTGAAATCATTTTATTGCAAACTCAAAGTTTATCGATAAAGCCATTTAATAGTTAAAGGCAGTTTAGTTTTATAAAGAACACTTTAAAACGTTTTGTGAATTGTTTGTGGTTGAATTTTACCTTAAATTGAAGCTTGTATTACGTATAATTACATACCTAACATATATATGTTGGGAAATTGATAATTTTGTAATTAAAAGTGATATTTTTAGGCGATTTTCATTTGTAAGAATATTCTTAAAAATTATCGTGTTACCATGACAACTACTTTAGATACTTCATGTTCGGAAAATACAACGGTTTTGTCAGCAAGGCGAGGGTTTCTGCATGCATGTATTTTCTAGTATATGCCCAATATAAGTAGAATAGCGAACATATATATGTTGCTTAATTTAGATTCAGTGACTGAGTCATCTGTAAAAATGTAACCGTCCGTACATCATTCGAGTTATCAACGTGGAAGTTAAAATCTCCAGTTACAATAAGGTCGCCTCCATCAAGAATAATTTTAATTATTAGTTCTGTAAAGTCTCTAAATTCAGTCCCAAAATCTCACATGGCGGTGTTACCGGTCATGCTGAAAATTGCTCTAAAGTTACTTATAATATTTTGGCTTAAAAAACCAGCATTTTCTTCTCCGAGTTCTGTCTGCTATTCATTCTATGGCGAGGAAGCAATTGATCTCAGGTCAGACGTATGTATGTCAATCGTTATGGTGCTTTCAGCAGATGAACGGTGTACAAGTCGGAAGGAAACAACAACAACAGCAACAACATTTATTTGTGTCTATAAATTTACATTTTTTTACAGTTTTATCACACTCGACAGAAAGATAATTGCAAGACACCGGTTGCTTAAATAACCATAATGGGCAAATTTAATAAGCAACCGTAGAGGAATATATATATATATATATATATATATATATATATATATATATATATATATATATATATATATATATATATATATATATATATATATATAT